CCGAGAAGGATGAGCATAATAAATGTTGATAAATTTTCTTCATTTTAGCTGGGCTTTTCATGCGATTGAAATTTTGACAATAAATCAAAATTTCAGTCGCATTCTGTCTGTGTGAAGAAATTGTTGGAAATACGTCGGTTGATAAAGTATGGTCATTGTTATTATTAGTTACCTCAGTCTCATGCCGAGCATCGTTATATAGAAATAATGAGTCTTCCTCAAGGTGCGTCAGCGGCGTTGAAAATTTACAGGATTGTAAAATTTGAGGGCGGCCTCCCTAGTAGATTGTAGCCGTTGCGTGCGTTCACTGGACAGGAATGTACGGTAGGATTGCAGGTCTGCCAAGGCGTCGTTTCGAGTAATTCCAAGTTCTTCATGGACGTCCAGGAAAATTTCGTGAAGGAGATTTCTGTCTTTTGGTAGTCCTTCAGCTGCTAGCATTAGAATAGCACTGGTTTTGGTGATTCCGCGAATACATGTTGATGATGGCTGGTCATGCAGGAAGGAGCGGACAATGTCCATAATTTTCGGGTCCCTTGCTTTTCTTCTGCAAGAAATCCCTCAACTATTTATTTGGTCTTAACTGATTCATGTCAACTTTGTAGCCAATTGGTTACCCATGCTGACTTAATCCCAACAGCTCTACTTTCAATTACCATAGAGCTGATTGGGAGCAATATCGAACATTTATGGAATATAACTTCGATCCAAACATTCCTTTGCAAACCAAAGATGAAATTATTTATGCTCTTGAATCTCTGACTACTTCTATAGTTAAAGCAAGAGCTGCCTCAGTACCAAAATGCGAGGTTAAATTCGATACAATTATAATAGACGACGATCTTCAGCTCTTGATCTGTCTTAAAAATATCCGTAGGAGACAATATCAAAGAACACGCGATCCTGTCATGAAAGTTATCTGGCGGAATTTGCAAAAAAAAAAAAAATTAAAAAGCGATTCTCTGCCCTGAGGAACAAAACTTTTGAAAAAAATGTTCTTAAGTTAGACCCGAGTTCCAAACCCTTTTAGAAACTCACAAAAATTTTGAAAAAACCTCAAAAGCCTATTCCAGCGCTTAAAGAAGGTGGTAAAATTTTGATCACAAATTAGGAAAAAGCTCAGAAACCCCGACCAACCGTTCGTGAAACTTTTTCAAAGTTCTTTAACAGAAATAAATATTTATGTCGGCAATTCTTTACTTTAAATTTTCTATGATTTCAATGTTCACATTTAAAAATCTTTATTGATCGATACTTACATTTAAGATTATTTCTTCATCGGTCATATGATAGTAATCTATAAAGGTGCCATACTAAATTTCTTTTAATTTCGATATGTCACATGGACTTTAGTATTCTTTACAAATATTCATCAATAAATATTTAAATACTGATATCATCGTAACTTTGAATTTTACAAAGAACAAAAAATATTGCCATCGATGCACATTGATAATCTCCTTGTTATCGATTTGCATCGCTGGTTAAAGAGAGTTCGATATACACCAGGTGAATGGTGGCAATGTTTATATTATTTATTGACATATTCGGCATTTCATCGGAAGAAGCAATCTGCCGGTAAAGGCCCACGCACATTAGATCTGGATCGGACGCGTTGCGGCAAAGTGACAGCTAAATCTATTGTCTAACTGTCAAATTTACGTCAACGCAACGCAAACGGATCTAATGTGGGTGGCCCTTAAATGAACGAGAAGACCGATGGCCGCGACGCAGCCAATGTTTACCATTGTAGTTCTTCAAGTTTACGTATATATTTAATAACCCGTGATAGCATGCGTGGTGGGATTCTCGGCATTTGGAACCCAATGAGGAAAATTGATACATTTTTACCTCTATTAACAGAAATCGATATTTTGATCTGGCAACACAATCGATATTTTAACATTGGTAACGATTGGTAGCACTATTTTGAGAAAGATCTTTATAAATGATTCACGATTAGACTTTTAGCATCTTAACAATTATTCATGAAATGGTGACGATCGCTATCGATTTTTCTTATGAATGGCTTTGAAGATCGATGTATAGAAAATTAAAGAAAATTAACGAAATGGTTGGTCGGGACTTGCTAAGAAATTCGAGAGTTCCCATAATTTCAGTTTGGGTCATACTAGTCCTATTGAGAATCAGGTTGCTCGGGATTATCTGAATATTTTCTCTCGGGAAAATATTTTTGATGATTCCTGGGGGACTGATTTGGACGAAGTAAGGTCTATAACTAAAAAGTTTCATAATATGAAAGCTCCAGGTGATGATGGAATTTTCTATATCCACATCAAAAAACTCCCAGAGAGTACCTTGTCTTTCTTGGTAAAATTATTTAACAGATGTTTCCATTTGGCATACTTTCCTGATAAATGTAAAAATGCAAAAGTTGTTCCAATTTTGAAGCCGGATAAAAATCCAGCTGAAGCTTCTAGCTACCGTCCATTAAAATTGCTTTCTTCAATAAGTAAACTTTTTTTTTTTTCCTTTGGTTTGTTTTTTCCGTCGATCTTGTTTTCCGTGCTGAGCACCAATGCTACTGACGTGCCAGGAAGGCAGCTCCCACACCTGGACCCTACCTATCGACCCATCAACTCATGAACCGGGGACCAACGGCTTTACTTCCCATCCGAAGGAAGGCGTGATCAGAGATGTTATGCCTCAGAACATCCCGGCAGCGCCGACTGGGATTGAACCCAGGCCTGCTGGGGTGAGAGGTAATCACGCTTACCACTACACCACCGGCGCCGTTACAGTAAACTTTTTGAAAAGATAATTTTAAATAGAATGATGCTTCACAACAATACGAACTCAATTTTTGCAGATGAGCAGTTTGGATTTCGCCATGGGCATTCAACTACTCATCAACTCTTAAGAGTTACCAATTTAATTCGTTCAAACAAATCTGAAGGCCACTCAACTGGAGTTGCTCTTCTAGACATAGAAAAAGCATTCGACAGTGTACCCAACAAACAATTTGAGCTGCTTAAAGGTTGAATAAGCTATTTTTTAGGATTTCCAGTGAAAACTAGATGTATGAGTGCTCATTGCAAGACAGCTTATATTACATGATATAAGCCATATTCTGTCCAGGGTATTATCAACAATCAATACGAAACTAATACCCCGGACAGACTATGGCTTATATCATATAATATAGGCTGGCTTGCAATGAGCACTCATATATAGGATTTCCAGTGAAAACTAGATGTATGAGTGCTCATTGCAAGGCAGCCTATATTACATGATATAAGCCATAGTCTGTACGGGGTATAACGATTTTAAATTGGCTCACTACTTGACTAGCCTATTGGTCCCAAGCAAACGATTAACGTACCCTATTCTAGTCGAAATTCTAGTACTACGCAATGTTTGTTTTGTTTCGCTATGAAAGTTCACTGGGTCCCGAAAAAAATCATTATTATTTTTGGCTCACTCAGTACCAGAACAACGGTCCCAAGCAGTCCCAAGCCATTTCACTCACCCCTGCATGTTCTGCATGAATCCACACACCACTGATGTTATCTGTCAAACTTTCATAGTGAATCAAAACAAACATAGTGTAGTAATAGAATTTCAACTAGAATAGGGTACGTTGCTTGGGACCAATAGGCTACTAAAGTGGTGAGCCAATGTAAAATCGTTAGTTTCGTATTGATTGTTGCTAATACCCCGTTCAAATTACAGCGTATATCACGTGATATACGCTGTCTTGCAATGAGCACTCATACATCTAGTTTTCACTGGAAATCCTATGTATGAGTGCTCATTGCAAGACAGCTTATATTACGTGATATAGGCTGTAATGTGAACGGGCTATTACCATAGAGGTAACTCTAATACCCTGGACAGACTATGGCTTATATCATGTAATATAGGCTGTCTTGCAATGAGCACTCATGCATAGAATTTCCAGTGAAAACTAGATGTATGAGTGCTCATTGCAAGACAGCCTATATTACATGATATAAGCCATAGTCTGTCCAGGGTATAAGGCCACTGGGTCCCGAAGAAAATCATTATTATTTTTGGCTCACTCAGTACCAGAACAACGGTCCCAAGCAGTCCCAAGCTAGTTCACTCACCCCTGCATGTTCTGCATGAATCCACACACCCCTGATGTTATCTGTCAAACTTTCATAGCGAATCAAAACAAACATAGTGTAGTAAAAGAAATTTCAACTAGAATAGGGTACGATAATCGTTTGCTTGGGACCAATAGGCTACTAAAGTGGTGAGCCAATTTAAAATCGTTAGTTTCGTATTGATTGTTGCTATTACCTCGAAGCTTTTTGAAGTTATTTCCATCGAACTTTTTCTTTAAACTATCCATATTTATCACTTTTTGTACTTTTTAAAACGAAACAAAGGCACTGGACAAGGCACACCAAGTATGTCAGCAACGTTACAGCCGAGGTTACAGCAAGATATTTTTAACCCAATAATGGGTAAAAATGAACCCATTTTTGATCCCTCAACAGGTTTCGGAAACGGGTGAAAAAGTATCCACTATTTGAAATTTTCATTTACGCATATTTTGACAGCTCCATACACTACCACAAAATGGGTACTTTTTCACCCATTAATGGGTACTCGCCAGTTACAGTGTATAGGTATTCTTTACCGACTTTAAGGTATGTGCATCTTAGCGAGCACGGTATACATAAACAAGTACTCCCGGATGTAAAATTAATTCGTCGACCAATGACGTCATTGGTATCCTTCAATAGTGCGTGAAGCGGAATAGCACTTACTGTACAGTGCAAATAAGTTGCAGCACATAAAAATCACTCTTTTGTTCAGTGATAGGCTCTCATTCATAAAATAATGTATGAAATTAAAAATATCAATTTCTTTTATCGTTCGTTTGTTTACAAAAAAGATAGGAATGACGTCACCATGCAAATGTCATTTACCCGAATTCACCTCAGGAGTACGTCTTGGTTTACCTACCTGAAATATCTTTATACAATGTTGAGTTTAATAAAATTTGAAGGCTAAACATAAACGCGAAGCGCGATGGCGTCCGTAAACTCGATAAATATCCATGAAATAAACATCCAAAATCTGGAAAAAATCGAAAGTTTCCTGAATGATTCCGCGTATAAGGAAGCGATAGAAAATAGTGAAACATTTAATACTCGGTTATGCATCGAAAGGCGTTTACGAATGCCGTTTTTAGATCCGCAAACTGGAGTGGCTCAGTATCATAGCAGCTTATTCTTCCGGGCAAGGCAAAGGATTCCGGGATTGAAGGAAGGTCAAATTTATAGTTATCCTTCATCACGATGGAGAAAGTCACGTCGGCAGTATTTAATGCAGAAACCTCATCCACCGTTTCCCACATATACCCATCGGCCATTTGGACATTTGCAAAGCACATATGATTCGGAAAACTCCAACCTAGATTCGACTACAACCAGTATTGAGCCAGAGGTAAAAGACCAGAAAGATGATCCCGGAAAGGATTGGTACTACGACGAAATGGATATGCATGAAATGGAGTCATTTGACGATCACGACTTACCGGACTCCGATTGTGATTTCGAGGAGAGCTACAGTAGCCGAAAGAAGAAAGGAAAAAGCGGTAAAGCTGGATCTAGTTCCGTAAAGAACAAATCCAATATCCCAGACCCCAACTCTCAAAAACGCGGACGTGGCGCAGGCAGAGGGCGTGGAAGAAAATCACAAGGTATTGGAGATAGTCCGACTAGCAAGGAAACAGGAGACAGCTCCAAGAAAATTCGATCTCAAACTCTTCCTCATTTAACACCACAAACGAGCTCATCTCCATTGACAGTACCACCGGATGAACCGCCAATGCCGGTGTTAGTACCCGAATCTAAGATTCCTGAAGAACCAGAGGAAATTGTACCATTCATTAAATCTGGAATATCTGTAAGTAGCAATGCATCTACTACCGGACCACCGGTTCACATAATCGAAAAGGGACGAGCCATTCCATCTCCGTATTGTGACTTTTGTCTTGGCGATGCCCGTGAGAACAAAAAAACGCTTGAGCCTGAAGAACTAGTATCTTGTTCAGATTGTGGTCGCTCCGGCCATCCCACTTGTTTGCAGTTCACTGCCAATATGATTATATCGGTTCGTAAATATCGCTGGCAATGCATAGAATGTAAATATTGCACTATTTGCGGAACGTCGGACAATGACGACCAGCTGCTATTCTGCGATGATTGCGATCGTGGGTACCACATGTATTGTCTCTCACCACCGCTGATATCGCCACCGGAGGGATCGTGGAGTTGCAAGTTATGTACCGAAGAATTCCACAAGAAATAAGCTAACAAGAGTTTATACGAAGGTAAGGAACTATTTGAACTAATAATCACCCAATCGGCTTTCTCGCACATTACTGAAACAAGAGATAACCGGAGGGATACGTTCGAAAATGAAAAATAATTTGCTACAGATACTATACTAAAATTTTCAATTTTCCCTTATTTGATGTTTCATAACCGCTTGCCTTTAAATTAGAGTTTTTTTTAACACCAGTTTTTAGTCAACATCCTAAGTAGATTTTATAACATTTGCCCGAATGACAATCCGCATAGCAAAATCCCGAATGGTTTGTTAATATATTATTATGAACCCAATACATTTGTAACAGTACACTCCAAAATAATTGCACGTCCGATCTACGTGAAAACATTAACATGTAACATTAACATGAATACCATGTAGCCACAAATATTCCCATTTAGCGGTCAACGTGGTCAAGCTGGAATGGATTAGCACGTAATGTTTACGTGATTTTGAAATAATATTTACTGGAATATACTGTTTATCTTACGTTTACGTTCCGTGATTTCCACTATAATTGGCATGGATTTGTACGTAATGTTTACGTGATTATGAAGTGATCTAACAAATACTTTTTTCCATTTTGTCCAAGAAAAGAATGTTCAAACGTTGTTAGCATTTTTTTATTAATACGTCAAGTGTGTCATTGAAACATTAACACTAACCGAAGAACGAAGAACATTGAACATCTCTTCCATTAATGACCTCGATGACGACATATTGAATCACTTTTTCATTCATGTAAATCACGTAAACTCATGTTACGAAAGCACAACACAATCATACAACCGCATATAGACGTTTGATGTTAAAATGTTTTCACATTCATTATCAGCTCCAATGAACATGACATGATATGTTTATCAATTTTACTACCATCATGCAAACATGACAGTTGAAGCATTCGAAGCAGCTACGTGATTTTTCACGTAGATTTGACGTGTATATATTGTAGAGTGTACATGCTTATCACTTACTTTTTACGTGGAATTGCCGTAGCATCAACGAACATGAAAATCACGTAAATTTTATCAAAATTTAATTTTGACATTGAGGTGAGGCACGTGGAAATGATTGAAGTGGGATGTTGAAGAGGTTACGTGATTTTTCACGTAGCATTAACGTGAAAAAAATTTAGAGTGTAGACAACTCATCAATTTTTGAAATGGTTAAAATTATTAGATTCTGATTTCTCATCAACATTTCAAATACGTAAAAAAATTCCAAGTTTCCCAAAAAAATAATATTTGATTTTGATTTCTCATAAAACATTAATATCCTAGAACTCCCAAAGTCCCTCCCCTTTGCTCGTTTTTGCACCTTATTGCTGGTGGGCGCGCTTAATTTTATGCTTTCTAGTGGAGTGTTGGAGACGGTAGGTTTATGGCCGGCGTTGCTGGCTCATGCCGCGATAGAATGGCACTATGAGCAGGCGATGGGGAGCTTCCCCTCTCTGATGAACCACTGCATGAGGGAACCAAAGATTTAGTCTAGCACTGATAGTATCACACTTGTTACTCCTTTGTTTGAGAGCCGCGTCGTAGTACGCTTACGTATAGGCACTGACGTTGGGTGCGATACTGGCGGGTTTTTCCGCAAATCACTCTTATTTTATTTATTTTTACGCAGATAGATTTATTTGGAATTATACTATTGAAATATTTCAGAAAGTGCCCAACAGTGCTCCTTCTATTTGCATGACAAGCTTTCATTGGAGTATTAATCAGGGAACAATGATAAACACCATTTTTGTACATGGTATTGTAACTAATCTTATAAATGCTTTATTTTGATTCGGGATAAGTGTTTAAACTATGGCTCGGGATTTCCTCTGTGGCGTGCTTCTATTGTGATATACCCATACGTATTTTTGTGGTGCGACATAGTGGAAACGTGTGAGCGTAGTTGGAGCATATACCCTATATAATTTTAAAACCAGCTAGGAAACTAACTTCAAAGTGAAGCATTTTAGTCTCTTGAAGGTGCCACCTGGTTCGAACTAAGATATAATAAATATAGGTCAATGTTATAGTTATAGCACAGACAAACAGACATAACACATTGAATATTTCTCACTGTAAAACATCGTCGCTAAAACATTACCGCCATCTGTTGAATACTCTGTGGTGGGTAGTACACTGAACAGATTTTTTTTTTCCTTTGGTTTGTTTTTTCCGTCGATCTTGTTTTCCGTGCTGAGCACCAATGCTACCGACGTCCCAACAAACAATTTTAGCTGTAGATTAGCTTATACAGGCGAACATCAGCTGTATAAGCCCATTTTTAGCTGTATAAGCTAATTTGCAGCTAAAATTGTTAGTTGGGGTGCCAGGAAGGCAGCTCCCACACCTGGACCCTACCTATCGACCCATCAACTCATGAACCGGGGACCAACGGCTTTACTTCCCATCCGAAGGAAGGCGTGATCAGAGATGTTATGCCTCAGAACATCCCGGCGGCGCCGACTGGGATTGAACCCAGGCCTGCTGGGGGGAGAGCTAATCACGCTTACCACTACACCACCGGCGCCGTTAACACTGAACAGATGGCGGTAGTGTGTATACTTCAAACGCAAGGGAATTGACTATGCGCGCCACAGGTGGCGGTACTACCAACTACGATACTTTTGAATTGACCGTTAAATGCTTGTTCGATGAACAACTTACGAGTGTTATGTCTGTTTGTCTGTGGTTATAGTTGGAGCATATACCCTATATAATTTATTTATTCAATTTATTCAAATGGGTCAAGTCTTGAAAACAAAGCTGTCACGCAGCTCCAGCTTGATACCCCATAAAAATCCTTTAAATATTATATTTATTTGATATTTATGATACCGTTTCAGAATACAACTTGACAATCGTGCAATGATACAGTCGGTATTGGGGCATTGCATTCCATTTATCAAGGTTGCAAATACTCATTTCAGCTAAAATAATGTTTTTCGAAATAACAAAACTAATAGATGGTATGATGGTATGTTTTACTAGTAACTTACAAGAAGAGGTTACACAGTATGCGTTTGAAACATAAAACCTGTAAATTTTGCTTTCTATGAGTCACAATCAGCGATTTGCTGATCGCTGAGTGAGTGAGTGAGTGAGTGAGCGAGTGTGTGAAAAATCACTGATTGTTACTCTCATGAAGTGAAATAAACAGGTTTAATATGTCAAACACATTCTTTGCAACCTCTTCTTGTATCCTACCAATTCAAAATATGATCATGGCATCTAATTATTTCATAATTAAAAAAAAATGTTTTAGCTGAAATGAGTATTTGCAACCTTGCCATTTATTATTAAGTTTGGTTTCTGAAAAAGATTTTTCAGACATGACAATGTCTTCTAGTTTTACTGATATTTATCCATGACAAGCAATATTTTGACATTAGGTTAGGGCTGTTCTATTTAATACGCTATATATTTAATCCATTGACATTTGCTTTGAATTTCCAGGATACCCAATGCATGACATCTTTAAAATCTAGAAGCCGGATCAACTGTTTTCCTACAGTGGACAACATGTTCGATGATTGATATAGTACCCAATGAGTAAGATATGCTTCTAAACCTATTAAGACTAAATTATAAACACAAGTAGGTATATGGCAGAATATGCTTGTTTATTATTGTGTGATGCTACTACATTTCGATGTAAACTTTATAAATCTCATATACCTAATACAACAAGTTCAAACTATTCAACAGCATAGATAATAAACAATGGAATGTTTGGATCTTATTTATTCGAACATAAATTTTATCAAGAAACATTATTTACCTATTTATATCACCGCTCATCACTAGCTCATTGTACTGAGTTTCCCCGCAATCACCCAAACCACAACCTTTGAATTTTCTTAATCGTTTATTTTAGCTCCTCTTCGTTGCTGTCTCTTTAAGTATGGATGGAAAATCAAAGGGATGCAACAATAGTTTACCGTACCTTCCTCTTGGGGAAAAAGTTATTAGAAAAAATATGTATGCATATGTACCTATGTACGTTAGTGCAAGGTGTTCCTATAGAAGCGTATGGAGTCTCCATAAGCCACTATAGGAACACATTGCCCTAACTTACCTCCACTATTGGTGCGTTTACCCAAGACCAGTTTGGTAAAAATTAAAGCTATTGACAATCGATGGGAAATAGGAGAACTAGAAAAATTACGATGGATTCATAATTTTGAACGACGAGGTATGGAAGAATAATTTTAAAATGCTTATATTTTACGAATTAGGTTTTTTTTACGATTTTGGTTATACATACGAGCAGTGATGGAATTCTCACCAAAATATCATTTTCGCTTGCGATACGTTTTCTCTTGGGAACTTTCCCTCGCTAGTTTCACACTCCAATATTTCCTGAGCGAACTTTCTGGGATGAGAGAATGAGATATCGCGAACTTTTTTAACTCGAATCACCAACGTGAGGATACGAAAAATATCAGATCATTTTTTCTCTCTATCTCTTTACACCACATTCGTTCTTGAAAATTGCACTGCACTGCGTTTACCCAAGACCAGTTTGGTAAAAATTAAAGCTATTGACAATCGATGGGAAATAGGAGAACTAGAAAAATTACGATGGATTCATAATTTTGAACGACGAGGTATGGAAGAATAATTTTAAAATGCTTATATTTTACGAATTAGGTTTTTTTTACGATTTTGGTTATACATACGAGCAGTGATGGAATTCTCACCAAAATATCATTTTCGCTTGCGATACGTTTTCTCTTGGGAACTTTCCCTCGCTAGTTTCACACTCCAATATTTCCTGAGCGAACTTTCTGGGATGAGAGAATGAGATATCGCGAACTTTTTTAACTCGAATCACCAACGTGAGGATACGAAAAATATCAGATCATTTTTTCTCTCTATCTCTTTACACCACATTCGTTCTTGAAAATTGCACTGCACATTTCACAAGGGAAAGATTATAGACAGAAAGCTATCCCGAGTAAATCAATACAATCTCTAAAGACTGATAAGTCTGGTACCTGGCTGTCTACTGGCGCCTGTTGTTTAAAGTAGCCGTTATCAGTATGATGTGAACAGTTTTGTGCAACTTATTGATTGGTGCATTGGTTTCTGGCAAAAAAATGAATGAATCAGCACAAGTGTCAACGCGACATTAACGAGGAACGGGGAGGGTAGTGTAAGATTTTGTGACTAGCAATTTTTATATTAAAACCGTTCCTCAGGATAGGGGGTTGCGGAAGGAGGAGCGCCTAATGTATCCTCATTTTCACGAAATACAGTTAATGCATGGCTCCTCTCATCACTAGTGTTCGTAATATCGTTCCTGTAAGCTCTTATGCAATAATTATATGCAGAGGGATGGTTGGGAATATAGGTGATGGTGAACTTTTTCACTGTGCTATTACCAGTGCTGTAAATTCTCAAAATCATTTGAACATTTTTGATGAAAATGGGAAAAGTAGCTATTCGCTATCAAAGGGGACCTCCTCCGAATGGGTGATATCAGTTGCTTAGTCATTTGACGAAGGCATGGATCATTCTCATTTAATACCCTGGACAGACTATGGCTTATATCATGTAATATAGGCTGTCTTGCAATGAGCACTCATACATTGGATTTCCAGTGAAAACTAGATATATGAGTGTTCATTGCAAGACAGCCTATATTACATGATATAAGTCATAGTCTGTCCGGGGTATAAGAAACGCTATATATCATTCGATTGAGTGTAACCTAAACACAAACGTAGCTCTGGTCGACATTCCGGCGAAAAAGCTAAGCCAACCCGACACCAACCTGACTTCTATCAAACCCCAACCCGATGTTGACCCGACATTGACCCGACATAAACCCAAAATTGACCCGACATTAACACGACATTGGGTCGACATCGACCTTAAATTAGCCTTACATTGATCCGACATCGGGTCGACTTGTCTGTTCGGGACCATTTTCCTGGATTTCTTCCATACTTCACTGTCGTATATCAAATGATACTGAGTGACTCAATTGACAGTGACAATGAGCTTCGAATGAGAAAGGGGCTCTTCAAATTATGGTCATGTGAGAATTCGTTTACACAGAATTGATTGAATGGTTGTAGTGGTTCATCTTCAATCGAATGATATGAAAATTTACAGCACTGGCTATTACTGTCCTCTCCCATGACTGGGAATCCTGTAAAACAATGTAAAACTCCCTATGTAAAACCATAAGGTATGCGGGACTGCTGCACTGCTGAACTTCAAAACGCTTTATTTGCTGACCAAGAATCTGACAAAAACATCTTTTTAGTGTGCAATTTAGGATGATAAAAAATTTAAACAGGTTATTCAATGTCCATTAAAACTGTAAAAAAATATAGGTAGAAAAAAAGAAAACAAAAAATTATTACCAGTTGGCTGGAAATGAACACAAAATTAATCAAAGTACCATGTACCTTGAGCTTTTGATATAGTGACAGATTGAGAACGATCTAAATTTTCCATCCACAAGTATTGCAAGACTTGAAATTAACAGACAATCTCAAAATACTTTCAACTTGCGAAGTGATAGATTCCCAAGTGAATACACCTGCTGAATAAAAATTATCAAGTAAACTATTTTTTTAGAATCGATGTTTAATAGATTTTTTTTGCAGTTTGAGATCCATGAAAAAAGGTACAGTAGCTTTATGGCACCAGTGACCAGCAAATTTAATATTTTCATTCAAGGTTGTGTGGAAATTCAAGCTACCGGGCGAGCTACTGGGTTACATTGCTGTCCTCTACCTAATGCAGTCGAGTGATCAAATCAGAAAGTTAGCAGATAAGAAATCAATTAATAACTAATTTCCTCAACGTTCAATTAAAAAGTGGTCTTTAGAAAAAAAATGTAGCTGAGAAAATTTCCTATGAGTACACAAGGTTAATTTATTGGTAGATCATTATGGCGAAATTTAAAGACGAGGTGAACAAAATAATCACTTTTCCCATAGTAATACCTTTATAAATTTTAGAAGGCCATTGCAGAATGAGATCACAACCCAATAAGCTCAAATTTTGGGAGAATTATCTGGACCTGATTAAAAATCGATTGAAATTAGTGAAGCAAAGCCGATATTTTGAACCACCCTAATAAGCATGTTCTCAATGCAGTAAGACTAATCAACAGAATGCTTGCTAGCTAACACTACTAAACATTTCTAAGCGCCAATCTCAGTGGTCTAACTGTACTTCGCACTAATAGCATAGTTCTTCTTGTCGAAGAGTACAGCCACAAATGATGATTTGGTCACCAAAGATTAGACTCTTAGTGAATAGTTACAAGTATCTACTATTAGCTGGTTGCATTGAGAACTAAAACTATAAATAAATCCGGAAAACTTTGAGATTAGGGCGTAATTTCTTTTGTAAACACACACTTAATTCGCCGATTTCTCGTGAATTAAAGTTCAATCTAAAAAAACTAACAACACGGACAGGTAGAGGAATGATTCATTTGGTATAGTATAGTTCGCTAGATTGTGCTTTGATTAGTGAGAAATCGCTGAATGACGTGTTTGTTTACAAAAGCAATTACGCCCAAATCTCAAAGTTCTCTGGAAATGGTATTTAATGTGATGGATGCGAAAAATATCGGAGAACGAGAAGAAAACAAACAGACACTCTCGCGTGATCATCACCTGCCTTTACTCGCTGGAAAAAAAAAGAACATGGTTGGTTCGAATCACGAGTACGTGTGAAATGATGTGAGATGGAGAGACGAAAGATCTTTCGCGATACGAAATGAAAATTTCTCCCGCTCTACGCTTTCATGAACTTTTTATCATCTCTCGTTCGCGAACTTTTTGTGAGAAGTTCCTTTGGGATTTATCTCTGCAATGAGCTGTGATAGAACTTTTTTTGAAAATGATTTTTCCAACACTGCATACGAGATTAGAAAAGTTGAAATCTCTAGATCTAAACGAAACATAGAGAAAAAAAATTATACGTCTATTGGGTATCTTTTGAGGTTTCATTCAGCAATACAAAAATTTACATATATGTACAGGGTTGCTTCCACTCACTTGCTATAAAAAAATGATTTTCTGAATTTTGAAATCATTCGATGTTATAATGATATTTTGTACTTGTTAGGTACATGAAGAGGATGAAAGGCAAGTGTTTGACTCATAAAACCTGTCAATTTCGCAGGGTTGCTTCCTCTCACCTGCTATAAAAAAATATTTTTCGGAATTATGCAATCATTAGATGTTATAATGATATGTTGTACTAGTAAGTAACAAGAAGAGGGTGTAAAGTATGTGTTTGACTCATAAAACCTGTCAATTTCGCTTTCAGAACGTCACAATCAGCGATCTTATGATTCGTGAGCGTTCGCTCAGAGTGAGCGCTCACGAGTCGTAAAATCGCTGATTGTGACGCACTGAAAGCAATATTGACAGATTTTATGTGTCAAACATATACTTCATGACCTCTTCTTGTAACATACAAGTACTAATTAGCATTATACTATTTCATGATTTCATAATTCCGAAAAACGTTTTTTTATAGCAAGTGAGTGGAAGTAACCCTGCAATTTCGCTACCATAGTGTTACAATAAGCGATTTTATGATCGCTGGCTGGGTGAAACCCCAATGATGTTAACCTTATCAACTATAGTAAAAAAAAAATACATTCAAGCATGGTCATAACATAAAAAAAAAACATTAAAAAACATGTACATATCTTATAGTCAGTTACTCCTGCCGGCGAAAAACAGAAGAAAACTTTCAACGAAGCGCATCACGGGAGAGATGA